GGAGCTGGATGACTTAATCAGCCAGCTCCCAGCACCCTTACTTCTCATGGGCGACGTCAATGCACAACACCCAGCATGGGGAAGCCCATGCAGCGACTCCCGCGGTAACACCATCGAAGCAGCCATAAATAAACACAACCTTACTGTACTCAACACAGGCGAAGGCACCAGGCTTAACCTAAGGGGCATCGACCGAGCCATAGACCTAACGTGCTGCACAAGTTCAATCCATCACCTATTTGATTGGGCAATATCGTCAGACCCAGGGCCCAGTGACCACTACCAAATTAAACTTACACTTAGTCCGAGGTCAATTCGCCACGTTAAAACCTTTACTCCAGGCTGGAATTTAAAAAGGGCTGACTGGTCGAAATTTGAGGAAATGGTGAACCTCTCACTGGGTGACACAGATCATCCAGACATTTCAGTAATTCTAAGAGCCATCGGCTCCGCAGCACAAGCCAGTGTGCCCAAAAGTAAGCAACCACCCAAAAAGGCATCAGCGCCATGGTGGACTCCAGCCTGCAGCCAAGCAGTAACAATCAGGAAAAGAGCACTAAAACAATTTAAACGTTGCATATGCGAAGCGCACCGCCTAGCGTACAAACAAGCTGCTGCATCTTGCAAAACTATCTTTAAAACAGAGCGCACTAACTCTTGGCAATCATTTGCATCCAAATTCAATCGCTTCACACCAACAGCAAAAATCTGGAAGCTTCTTAAAGCTTTCCACCTCAAACGCGCACCCCCAGGGCCATTCCCTTCGCTTAAAGTAAGAGGGCAGGAAATTACTGACCCAGAGCAAGTCATGATGGAATTTGCGAAACATTACCATTCAGTGTCAGCTAACAGCTCATACCCACCACAACTCAGGTCACGACTAGGAAATCTTGCCAATAGCTGCGACTTCACCTCCAACAACTACGAAATTTATAACAAACCATTTACACTACACGAGTTATCACATGCCATCAGCAAGTGCGGAAACACGTCGGTTGGGCCGGACGACATACATTACGAATTTTTCCGACGCCTCAGTAAACAATCATTAACGTACCTCTTAGCGGCCATTAATAACCTCTTCATAAACCACTCCTACCCGACCACTTGGCGGGAAAGCACTATCATACCAATTTCAAAACCAAACAAAGACAAGCAACATCCCGGTGGCTATCGCCCCATCTCACTCACTAGCTGCGCCAGTAAGGTAGTCGAGCGCATGGTCAACACACGCCTCATACACCACCTGGAAACAAATGACCTGCTCGACGAACACCAATGCGGCTTCAGGCGCGGGAAGTCAACAACAGACAACATCATTAGACTCATCTCAGACATTAGCACAGGATTTTATCGCAAACGGACAACAGTAGCAGTATTTCTAGATATCACAGCAGCTTTCGATCGAGTACAAAAACCGGCAATTATTTACAAGCTTCACCAACTAGGACTGCGCGGACACCTCGCTCACTTCATCATCAACTTTCTTGCGGACCGAACCTTCCAAGCTAGGTGCGGCACAACACTCTCACCAGCAACATCTCAGGATCAAGGTCTCCCTCAAGGTAGTGTTCTGTCACCAACGCTCTTCCTTATTATGATCAACGACATGTTCACCACAGCAAAGTACTATGTAAAATACTCACTTTTTGCGGACGACGTGGCCATTTGGGCTACACACCACGACCTCTTCAAGGTCGAAAAAGACGTCCAACTTGGCCTGAACAAAATTGCATTATGGTGCAAAGAATGGGGCTTCACCATATCAACCGAGAAGTCCGCCTCTGTAACCTTCACTAGAAACCGGAAAACCACTAACACTAGGTTAAACCTTAACGGCAAAGCAGTTAAGGAAGCCAAAGATTTCAAATTCTTAGGAGTCCGCATAGATCGAAATTTAACATTTTCTAAGCACATCAAAGACATCAAAAACAAGTGCGCAAAGCGCATGAACCTCCTCCGAGCGCTCACAGGCACAGACTGGGGCGGCGACCGGAAAACCATTTTGCAACTATACAAGGCCATCATCAGACCCATTTTAGAGTACTGCAGTATAGCTTATCACGGAAGCCTAACAGATCACCAGATAAAACAAATAGAAGCCATCCAGAACACATGTCTGCGCATTGCAACCGGAGCCATACCCAGTACACGAAACGCGACACTTCTGGCCGACGTCAACATGTTGAATTGCCAGGAAAGACGTATGCAACAACTTTGCCGATATGCCATTAACGTTAAAACAACTCCGAACCACCCAGTGCAACACTGCTTCCGGCCGATAAGCAGACTCGGATGTCATAGACATTCCCGATTACGACACCCATCACTAAATGATCAGTTGAGCACCTGCTTATCTAAACTGCAATTTACTTTACCGGATCTGGCACCCAGGCCTCGAGCAAAACCCTTCTGGCTAAAGGCACCACCCAAAATCGAATATCTTTTCTCTGGAAACAAATCAGACATCACACCAACAGAAATGCAGTCGAAATTTAACGAATACAAAGCACAGCGCCCAAACAAAACATTCATGTACACTGACGGCTCAAAACAGGAACACAAAGTAGCTTTTGCACTGACGACTCCACACTTTGAATTAAGCAGACGTTTACCGGATAACTTCTCCATTTTCACAGATGAGGCCATGGCCCTCTTATTCGCCGTCAAATTATGTACCCATGAAAAGCTTAGTAACGTAGTAATCTGCACAGACTCAAAATCAGTCTTACAAGCCCTGAGTAACACCACAAGCCCAACACATTTCATCATTTCTAGCATTCAAAATTCTATCCCTGAAAAACGAAATATTAAATTTCTTTGGATTCCTGGACATGCTTCTATCTCTGGAAACGAAAAGGCAGACAAACTAGCAAAGCAAGCATTGCATCTAGCAGAACCACTTGCAATACAGTACCCGGCAGACGACTGCAAGGCCATCCTCGAACTTCACATACAACAACTACGACAAACGACATGGGACGAGATAGGACCAGCACACATGCACTCAATCAAACCCCGATTAGGCTTCTGGGCGACCTCAAAACAAAACACAAGGCAAAAGGAAGTAATGCTCACCAGACTTAGAACCGGACGCACCAGACTCAACGCACCATGGCTAGAACCACAACAATATAACATTTGTGCCTTCTGCAATGTCAACACAGTGCCTACAGTTCAACACATCCTGCTAGAGTGCTCTCACTTCAACCTCCACCGACAACACATCATTGACTTCTGTCGGCAGGAGAACGTAACGTTGAGCTTAGATCAGCTTTTAGGTGACAGACACCCAGAGCTATTAGCACTTCTCTTCAGATATTTACAAGACACTAAGCTAACAGGAGCACTCTAAAGCACACATAAACGAACAGTTAAGTGCCGTGCCCAACATCTCAACAGTAGACTTAGCGGTAATCACACTCGAGAATTCTCCTGGCTCCGCTGTGCGCTGGTCCAAGCTTGGTGCCAGTTACGCCGGCTGACACCCAGTACACCACTCAACCGTGCGCTGGTCCAAGCTTGGTGCTAGATACGCCGGCTGATACTCACTACACCACTCAGCCGGGCGCTAGTCCAAGCTTGGTGCCAGTTACGCCGGCCGACATTCACCACACCACTCAGCCGTGCGCTGGTCCAAGCTTGGTGCCAGTCGCGCGCAGACAGGAGAGATTCAAAATTAAGAGAGGCCAACTGGTCTTCACCTCTTCAAAGTTGTTAAATGGCCATGCAGTCTTGTCCTTCAGACAATAATTATTTAGGCCCATGCACCACCCGGCATTGTAGGGTGAACGCGACACCCGGCGTGAGAGGGGGTGTGGGGATTGCCTCCTAACCCGCACGATAAAGAACCCATGGTGTAGTTCGTGAAGAGTAGGCCATGTGCCGGCACCATGGCAAAATTAATCCCAAATCGAATTTATTGTCTTGATGGAGGACAAAATGGTATCTTAACAACCCTTTAAAGTAACTATAACGTAAAACTAATTCTAACAGTAGGTAAAGTAAGTCCCAGGATCCCACTCACCTCCCAAGAAACCCACAACGCGTTACCGAGCGTTACTTTACCGAGCGTTACTTTAAAGGTCAAAATTTTAGAACTCACACACTTAATTGAAGTAAATGAGCACTTGCAATATCAAAATTCAAGCAATTCGATATTTATCTAGCAAACAGATTCTTTACAGGCGGCCGAATGTCCAATGGACAGGGACGCCTTAAAACCTCATTTTCACTCACTCACTCACACACCTCATCTCATCAGCAGGGCACGGACTGACTAGATGAGCTCAGCTGACGCACGAGTGAATGTGGTCAATTGTTCAGCCCTGAATGGGTGTGTCCGCGCTCTGCTCATATTTCGTCTAAGGATCTTCTCAGAGTTGGTGTATGGGTGCGGCGCGTGGGGTCGTGTGACTGCTCGTCTTGCAATAGAACTGCTGGTTAGTGCTTCGCTTAGGTGGCAGGGTGTGCCGTTGATTGACCTGGTTGTGTTTCAGTTGGGCTGCTGCGAGCGATCGGTTCCTATTTCTTGCACTCAGCTTGCAAGTTTTTATTACGTGCTTGTTCCATGAGAATTTCATGCTGTTTCTAGACAAGTTCAAGGCTGGCTTAATTCATTTGCTCTTTGGTTGCATCTGGCAGGCCTAATCATCTCCTCCCACCCGTATGTATTGTCCGATACCACCGTTGTTTTCCCTCGATGCCTCAAATCGCCTTCCCCGCCTGCCTCCTGTGCTGTCGTTCGAGCTACCCTGGCTCTGTCTCTCCTGCTGACCGGGTCCATCGTCCGTGTCTGATTTCGTGGTGTATGCCACGGTATGCTGTACTTAAAGACATGTCAAGAGCGTCATTTTGTGGTATCAAATATTAGCCACCGTCTGTGTACCAAAAGGCGTAACTTCCGTATGTTTTATTTCGTTGTGTCTGTGACCGTATGCTGTTCTGACGCCCTACAGGCGAGTATGTTGTGTCTAATTTCGCTGTTTCTTGTGTTTCAGCCTGGAGTCGAGTTCAGGAGGAACTAGACAGCTCAAATGGAGAGGACGGTAAGCTTAGGGTTATGGGCCATATCATTAATTGTTTCGACGAATTTCGCCTGCGATGCGCTAATTCCCATAGCTGAGCAGCAAGCACTATAAAATGAGACACATCAGAGGGTTACGAGCCCGGAGGAATTTTTGAGCTTTCGGGATGGCTGTGCTAAACTGATATGACGATGGCCAAACATATAATGGAGAGCTGACTGGACTGGAGTGGGAGCTGGCTGGCCAGTCCACTGTCCAGTGTCCAATATATAGGTGCATGGTCAATATGTAGGTGTAAGTCTCAGGAGGGTACACCAGCAAATGTTGTTACATTTTAGTGCTTATAGCGTGAGAGATCCTTCCGAACTGCCTCATTACAGCGCTTGGATTCGTCACAGTGCGTGTGCACAGGCGGGATAAGGTGTTTGTGACTTAGCCCGTCATCCGCGCTTCTGCCTCGGCCTGCGCTTGTCCCTCGGTCGGGTCCATATTCTGGCAATCCATATCAGACTGACTATCTTCAATCCAACTCCCTGCCGCATAGACGATAGGTAGTGCCTGGGGTGGGTAATAGATTCAAACTGATAGGCATGGATGAAGTATCCATGTGATAGGTCTGTTTTTGTACACAAGTACGGCGGCGCACTCAAACATAAACGGGCCATTCCTGTTGAAAACACTGAGACTCGGCCGGTAGCTTTGCTAATGAGCTGTCACGTGGCGTCTGGTGCAGGACAGGTCTCTGTCACGGCGAAGGCACCACACACTCGACGGTTGCGTCTTCTGCGAACCCTTTTATGTTTGCAGAAACCGCTTCACTTCCGTACAAACCACTAACAAAGACTGAGGCATTGTGTTGAGATTCTTGAAGTTCGAACAACTGCCGCCCACTCACTTTTCAGTTTTCGAGAAATATCAAAATGGTCCAAAATGTGTATTTCACACTCACACCAAGTCCAACAGCTAGACACGACTATCACCCGCTGAATAATCAAAATGCTCCTGCTGTAGTGCCCGTCCAGTGCCGCACTGATAGTATGCAGGCCTTACCATAAAACCTCCTTCGCCTGGTCTCGTCACCAGCACCCCGACCAGTCTCCCGGAGCTTCCAGCGAGTGACCCTGACCTGCGTCCTCTCCGGGGGGGAGGGGGGGGGGGCGGCGCACAGCTGGCCGGCTCGGGCCGGTGCGGAGTATTTTTGGCGACACGACCCGCCGGTCGTCACGTGGTCACCGCTGGGGGGGGGAGGGCGGGGGGTGCTAAATCGGTGCCAACTGAGCTGCTGCTGCGACCGCTACTGTCAGAGGCAGAGGCGACGGCGGTGACGTGGGGGAGGGCTCTGACAGATACTAGCTCATCGGGGAGGCTGGAAAAGTACTCGACACGGCTAGGGTACGGGGAACGCCGGAATGATACGGCGATCGTGTTGAAAACACAGTTGGTAGTCGGTTATGTTCGGTTTAAACGCTCGCCTATTCCTTATCACAGCTTGTGTTTGTTGTTTGTTAGACAGCTCTATTGTTCGCGCCGTGTAAATTATTTGTACCACATTCGCTTGCATCTAACCCCGTACTGTTTGCTCTCTCCACAGCGGCGGAGTCCTTTTACTACGACCAGCGGGAGGTGCACCCAGCCCTGCTCGGTAAGAATGGACGCTGTCGTCTGATAACTCTGTCACTGACTGATAATTGAAGGGGAATTAGGGGAAGGGCGAACGGAGTTAACTGACAACCATGAAGTGCTTTTGGGATGAGGTCTGAGGATAAACGATTCAGGATAGGTAGGTGTATGTGACTAACACTTATTGACCGTGTTAGAAAATCGGCTTTAAATGGAACAGGATCTCAATTTATGTAGAGTACTATCATGGTCCACTATACGTATCGTTAGCATGTGTCTGTGTGGCCCCCGCGTCCGCTCGGGTGCTTTCACGTCGATTTACATACCGGATCGCGTGTGTCCGGTCAGCCGGCTCTAAATGTCGCACCGGTCATGCGACTCGCTCGCGGAGGGACATGGTAATCACGCGACTGGCTGCTGGTCGCTGCATGATGGTGCCTAACGGCGTATATTGAAATCTGAAATGGAAAGTGCATGGTCGGGTGAACAATCGTAAACAACAGTAGTCAGGTTGGGTATTAGTAGGTTAGGTAAGGTCAGTTCAGCAGCTGGCGAGGTTGTGTAATGTGTAGTTTTTAACACCATGCTCTTTCGTACTGGCTTTCAATATTAACGTCTACCGTTGGTCGTATAAGGGACACCAAACCTGAGCGTATCGTAGTCAATCTGCTCTGACGTAATTGTGTGATCTGACCCGACGTGACGTTCCGTCTTATCAGTGCCCTGCCGACTCTTTAGTGCCCTGGCCCTGCCGTAACATGATGGTCCTGGCGCACCCTGAGCTGACTTTGTTCTCCATTCCGTCTCAGATTTCGAGCCATTCGACTTGGAGTCATGGTGGGGCCGCCGTCTCTACCAGCAGCTGACCGGCTCCTCCACCACCTCCTAGGCGCACTGGTCACGTGATCCAGCCGCACCGCACACCGCGCTTTCGCCAGACGTGTCACGTGACTGGGACAGCCCGCCACCGCCCGTCCAGACGCTGCTCGTAGCGGAGTTATGTGATCCGGACGGTGTCCCTCAGTGAACTGTCACGTAACCTTCTGGTGGCCGCTTGCGCTCAACGTCAGTGACCGGGCGGGACCCGTGGCCCACTGGTCACGTGCCCGCTGCCTTGGAACTGAGCAATGGTGGCGACATCTGTACAGTGTACATCAGCGCCCTCTATATGGCGGCCGGGTACAGTCGCCCGTCCGCCCGCCATATTGGGGAGAGTAGCATTCCAATAGTCGTCAGAGAACGTAGCGAGGGGCGCCGAGCGGCCGACCTGACCCGACCCCGGGTCACCCACGTGACCTGGACGGGACGCTGGGAAACCTCAGGCCCAGCGGGGCCCTCGGTCGCCCACTCTACCGTAGTTTTCACCATGAATGGATGGGAGGGAGCGCGATATTCGAATGTTTGTGAGACGATTGAAAGCACGAGACTCATGTTTCTCCCTTTGCGAGTGTAAGAGCATCACCAAGATCACGGAGCACGACGAGACGATAGTGTGCGGGTGTGCCCGCGAGAGGTCACCGATACTGTGACCCCAGGTCACTGGCTGTGACCCCCGGGTCGGAATTAGACTGACCCGACCGGGCCGCCCCTATATTTTGCTATAGACATTGTTAGCTGCCGGTGGCCGCCAGCTGTGTGTTTGTATGTGTGTCTGTGGGTGTATGTGGCGGCCGCCGCAGTGCAGAGAGTGAAGGGGCATTGTGCAATGACGTCATGCTCGGCGCCGGTCGGTGTGACGTCACAGGTCACGTGACCGGCGGCCGTGCTATGGGCGACAATACAAACAGGAGAACCAGGCAGGACACCGCTGCTTTTTCCTCAGGGGGATCAGGGTACGAGTCAGATTTTTAAACAGGCGATTATCGGCGACTTACAAACATCCATAGTAACGTGCAGAAGGAAGGATATCATTGAAGGAAGGTACTCGGCCGCATATCAGCCAGTCAACATCTGTCCAATCTTACCTAGCACGTCCCTCCAATGGTCTCAACATAAAAAAGAGAGAGGAGCCTTGCCCCACAAACAGACCCGAAGCGCTAGCCGTGATACAGTAATACAGCACCATGCGATGGGCTGGGGAGTCAGGAACGGTTGGCCTGCCTGGGCGGGGAGCCCAGTGAAGAAGTTTTATTTTTCCCATGCCCAAATGACAGCACAACGCCACCGCCCCTGCCTAAAAACATCCAACACAAGACACTAATGACGGCGACCAGCATGGAAACTGACGCTGGGGAATGCTTCCTTTTACAGACGATAAGACTCAAACGCCATGTCAAATGCATATGTATATTCATGGAGAGCTAATCAGTAATTTCGGAACACGAACTTTCCGCTCCAGCCATCAGCCAGACTGTCTGCACCCGGGGCAGGTCTCGGACGACACTGGAGAGGCTGATATAAGGGTGACTGGACACACCTGGCTAACTGAACGGTCTCCAAGAGGTCTTCTTAAAGTCGTGTGCAGAAGCGCCTTAATCGTAACTATTATTAACAGACCGGTGCGGCAGTACTTCAACCAGGAGACGGCGGGCGCCGGGCACACATTTGGTATCAATCTGAGCTAAAACTCGGAAATGCTGCATGGTCTGATTTCACGAGCTATATAATCAATAAATTAAACAGACGATAAACACGAATAAATAGCGAGCCCAGATACCTCAGAATCCCAGAATCACTCAAATATGTGCACGATCCTATTCGCGCTGGGCCTCTAAAGTCACACAGGCGGGTGCGTCGAGGCCGTCAATCTGTCGACTCTACACCACGCCGGACCCCGGTGCATAGTCAAACCACCGACTCTGCACAGCACAACCTGGGTCTGCCCTAGAGACCAGCCCGACACACCATAACGATAGAACACACGACACTATTGCAGACGTTTTCAAATGCCTAGCCGCTTTTAGACTATGCCAGCGCTATTCAATGCCCTCTCCCCTGCAAATGTGTCGAACCATTCATCGTATGTAAGGCAGCTTAACAGCATATCATTTATCCTTACTACCTATCATGGAATGTGCGTGGTCGCCCTCCAAGGGACAACTCAGCTTCGTCCTAAAGGCTGGATGCACCATAGTTCGGTTTGGAGACTTTACCAGCTAGAACTGCTCGAGTTCGATTCCTGATTGGTTTTCCTGGTGCTTATCTTAGCGGAAAAGCCGGACACTTATTGCCAAAGTACTGCTAACATCTCAGAACCCTGTGGTAAAGGCTATCTATAACCGCCCGGGCCTTAGCATACAGATGGAATGGACCTCATCAGAACACACAGGGATAAGTCGACCCCTACCACACATAGTAATGCCAACTTAGCTACTCGAAAGTCAAACCATTCTGCCATGTTTAACAAGAAGAGCAATGAACCACTCTATCACAACCTGACTTCCGCCACGGCTTTTCAGTCTCTGATCTCTGGAGCACGCGTCAACAACGGAACGGCGCCGGCAGTCGGGGCGACTATAAATAACGGACCCTACCGCTGGGTTTAGACTGCAGACGGCTGGGCGGTGGGCGCGGGCGGCTCGGCGGCGGCGGGGGCGGGGGCGGGGGCGGCTGGGTCCTCGGCCGCCGCCGCCGCGGGGACTGGGGTGACCGCCCGCGGCACCGGAGTGGTCGAGCCCGCCCCAGAGGCCGTGGAGGGCGTCCTGTCGAGACACGAGACAGAGGGGGCGGACAGTCAGTCAGGGCATACTTGCGGCATATTCCGTAAATGGACTCACTAAGGAAAACACATCTTAAAACGACAACCATGTTCGCTAGGGTTTCTTTTCAATAACAATCCTAGAAAAGGAACAAAATACCTTTGAAAGAACGAGCGTTTTGCATGACGTCAAGAATACATTCAACAATAAGACCTGGAGTGAGCAGAAGTGTCGTAAGTCTCATCTAAAGCGCAGAGTGTCCTGCCCGCAGTGTTCCGTGTCCTTCCTGGGCTGATTGAATGTCCCTAAGGAGTGTTGGCTATCCCACATGAAGTACGAGCATCCTACCTGGAGTACTGAGTGCCGGCCGGGGACTCAGGTCCCGTGAGTACCCACCTGGAGTGCTGAGTGCCGGCCGGAGCCGGGGACTGTGGTCCCGTCGTTGAGGAGGTCCTTCGCACCTGCACATGCGACTTGTATGTCTCCTCAGTGGTCTCCAGTACTCCTGTCGTGAACAAAACGGAAACCCAATTATACTAGAGCAACACGATCAAACATTAAAAAGTACTCTCACGGACAAAAGCTCATTATCGTTAGCTGAGGATTCAGACACATGCCCAAAGAAAATGCGAAGTTCACTGGCTCTAGCAGCGAATAAGCGTATGCTACCTCGAATATATCATCATTACTGTATGCCTGGCCTATTCAAATACATTAGCCTGAGGGGTGTGGCATAGATAACATGAACTACCTGGATTGGACACTCGTTTTTGGCGCCAAAAATAAGAGGCCACTTTGGCCTCTTATTTTTAAAGACGGCCTGTAACACTTTTGAGAGGCTGATATCTCAGCAACCACTGGGCCGATTAGACTGCGGTCTTTTTTGTTCGGTAGCCCCATCCCTTCTGCCCCATAATTGACTTCTCATGATGCGTCTAGGTGACTGCCGTAGCACGTGCCACGTGAAAAGTCAGGGGTGTTCACTGTTCAGCGTATTTTGCATAAGTAGCGCTTTTGCGAGGCTTATATCTCAGCAACCACTTGACCGATGTACATGCGGTAATTTTTGTAGGGTAGCTTCATTCATTTTACCAAGTATTGGGCTGTTCCCGATGCATGTGGGTGACCCCTTATGCACGTGCCACGTGCAATACGAAGAAGTGTCAGTTTTGTAACAATTGCAATATCTCGGTAACTACTCGGCCGATTGCGCTGAAATTTGGCATACAAATACGCACCCACCGGCAATGTATATCCATGTGCCAGAGATGGGGTGCTGCTGCACGTGCGCACGTGCAGGGCAGGGGTCGTTTCCAGATCTCGAGAACGGCTGGACCGATGGCGCTCAAATTTGGTACACGGTTAGGGACCAGTTAGAAGGGTGCCGTGCACAAGTCAGTTGGGACCCATATTGCACGTGCGCACGTGCAGGGTGCCGCTTCCAGATCTCGAGAACGGCTGGACCGATGGCGCTCAAATTTGGTACACGGTTAGGGACCAGTTAGAAGGGTGCCGTGCACAAGGCAGTTGGGACCCATATTGCACGTGCGCACGTGCAGGGTGCCGCTTCCAGATCTCGAGAACGGCTGGACCGATGGCGCTCAAATTTGGTACACGGTTAGGGACCAGTTAGAAGGGTGCCGTGCACAAGGCAGTTGGGACCCATATTGCACGTGCGCACGTGCAGGGTGCCGCTTCCAGATCTCGAGAACGGCTGGACCGATGGCGCTCAAATTTGGTACACGGTTAGGGACCAGTTAGAAGGGTGCCGTGCACAAGTCAGTTGGGACCCATATTGCACGTGCGCACGTGCAGGGTGCCGCTTCCAGATCTCGAGAACGGCTGGGCCGATTGCACTCATATTTGGCACATCGCTATAGACCGGTTAGTAGGGTGCCGTGCACCGAGAAAGTTGTGGCTCTGCGCGTGCTCACGCGCGCACGTGCACACCCCTCCGTCATATCTCGGGAACGGACTGACCGATTGCGATGAAATTTGGTGTGTGGCTGGATGCTGACCGTGTATGAGTTTTTCTCAGTCGACGAAGGTGAGGTAATGCACGTTCACACGTGCACATCCCATAGTTCCAGCTAAAAATGGGACACGCCGCCTTCAATAAAAAGCTGGTGTGCGATTGAAGGATAACAAAGTGTCGTGACTGTGTGCCTCAGAAGGGTGTGAATATGCACGTGCCACGTGCACACCTCATAATAACGGCTTAATAACGAGCAGGCCCGTTATTGATCGAAGTTGGCTTACGATTAGGGGTTAACAAAGTGCATTGATGGTGTGCATCACAATGGGTGGGAATATGCACGTGTGCACGTTCACACCCCATTTTAAAGTTAACAAAACTGGCAAGCCGATTTGGATCAAACTTGGGGTGCCATCAGGGAATAGCAAGGTGTACTGATTGTACGCATCAGAATGGCTGTGAGCATGCACGTATGGAGGTGCACAGCCCATTTTTTACAGCTGAAAAACTGGCAGGCTGATGATGATCAGATTCTTATTGTATCGTGAACATAAGGTCATTTTTAACACCATAATATTCATAATAATGCTCAAACTGCGCATATTCACATCCCACCTTATGCTTAAGAGTGAAGCAGGCTGGTAATAATATAGGTACTTTAGTGCATGCGTTGTGGGAGACGCATAAATGTGCACACTCATAAGATTTGTATCCTATACGCACAACCGCCTACGCATGGGTGCCTCAGACTAATATTCGTGCTCATTAAAAAAACACATTTGCTTACACAATTGTTAACCCGCTGGTGGCCTGAACTTGGAACTTGGCTGGGGGGGGGGGGGGGCGTTTTCACGCTCCCCCGTCTAACTCGATTCCTGGGCCACGTAGCGACACGCGGTAAGGGGTATTCGAAAGAGCGTTAAAAATAATGACGGAAACACTTCAGTCATTTTTTAGGTCAGGTCAAAAGTCAGGTCACCAGAGTCATCAAAAGTCAAATTAAGTCCATTTCAATAATTGATTTTGGAAACTTTCAACGGCTAACTCGGAAACCAATAAACCTACAATACCGCGGAAAAGCGCATTCGACAGACCTTTTCAAGGCCTTTCTAAATATTGTTCTCAGATTTGACATCAGATCAACGGTTAGCCTCCAGGGGGCAAAAACTGTCAAAATAGCCGTTTTCACGAAAAAATGTTTTTCGGGAATATCTCAAGGCCCACATTTCTTTTGATGTGGCCCTCAAGACAGCCAGTTTATTTTGGCAGCATCGTATTCCTCTGGTCGAGACGCGTCGAATCAACTATTTATTGACCTTGAAAGGTTATTTTGAAAATTTGACCCCAGGTCAAGGTCATGACCTGACCGGAAAGGGTCATGTTGCATATCAGTCGATCCGTATCGTCGAGCTGAACTCTTGTGACGTGTTTTCGCCGCTCTAGCACGCCTCTATTAAAAGTTATAGCAAAAAAAACTGCTGGCGACCGTTCATGACCTGAGATGACCTCAGCGGCACACAGAGGGGTTACATGCCAACCAGCAAAAACGCACGCAGAAAACGCATCATGTAGTCAGGCCTTCACACAAAACATGCGTTTCTATTTTGTAAATTTATTTGCAATTTTGCTATTTGCTGTCAAATTAGGCAAGAAACGAAAGAATGTTTAAACTGAAGTGCACGCGACATTCAACAGCTGTTAAAGCATTTTTGAGAGTCGTTTTGAAAGTCACGAAAGGCAAGAGGCTGCTTTTTATTATTTCATGACAGTACGATGAATGATATTGTTTCTTTATATGCCATTAGTTACATTCTATAATGTAAGCAGATAAGTCTGTCGGCGAGCAGTGTAAATATGACAGTTAAATGCGCTGCGCTTAACTGTCGGTCGGGTTATAAGACCAAGAAGAGAGATGCCGTGCTGTATAAAGAAGGTGAGACGAGCGAGAGAACGACATTTAAAAAATGTGTATTCAGATTTCCCAGAAACAAAACCGTTCGCGATCTCTGGCTGAAGGCACTGGGCAGGACAGATTTTGATGCTACCCAAACAGGCGTATGTGAAAAACATTTTAAAGCCAGTGATCTTCGACGGGCCGAAAAGGATGACAACGGAAAGATAAAACGTACTCGTCTGCAACCCACCGCGGTGCCTTCTATCTTCGACGGTCATGTAGACTCGGACACCGGACCACCGGACCCTGCGAGACCGACAAAGCTCGCATCCTCGTCTGCTCGCCAGTCGCGCGATAATAAGCGTCTGGAAGACCTCTTGACTGCATTCCAGGAACACGACAGCCTGACTGATTTGTCAGACTTGCAGCACAAACTACAAAGCGAGAGACTGCCAACTGGATTCAGGTATGCTATACTGTTTTTGTATCCAAACATTAACCCGTGCCCGGGTGGGTATCGAGTTAGAGGTGGGTGTGGTAACATATGCCCCCCCCCCCCCACTATGGCGAAGTTGACTGAGACCACCACTGGGGCGCGGGTTAAATCGGCGTAAAACTCGGGAACCAACAGCGCTATAGCGCCGCGGGAAAGCGCATTCGATAGCTCTTTCAAAGCTTTTTGAATACTGCTCTTATATTTTTCCGCTCAGAGTTGGCTGAGAACCACATTACAGCGTGGGTTTTAGCTAATATTTGATGGCCCGAAATTGTGCGAAATTTGTATGGCTTTACATCCAATCCACCACCCATGTAAAAGCATGCCTACCCATTTGAAGATAAAAGATGAGCAGGGCATTAAGATTTTACCTCATTTTTGCTTTCAGACCTGTGCTCATGGATCTTGACAGCAAGCCACTGCTCAGCATCCGTGCTGAAGAAGTCGACGCCGAAACCGGATTGCCAACGATAGTCCATAACGTGTCGGTTTACGAAGACATGTCTTTCAAGATCCACCACCAAGGTGTTTTGCTGTCCACGGATACTATGCTGGACATTGTACCGTCTACGAAGTTGTCAACAACAAGTCAAGTGCTAAATGTGCTTGCCCGTCTGAGAACGCTGACTGCTGACGCCGCTTCACGTCTTCAGGCGGCAGCACGAATGCTCGAGGAGGTGTGCGGTGATCCCAGCAGTGATGAAGCTCTTCGGCCACTGGTGTCATTCACAGCGGAGCAGCTGCGACTGGTCACCAAGAAGGCAAACGGTAGAAGGTACTCGTCTGACCTTCTCTGCAACGCAGTTGTCTGGGACAGACTGAGTCCCAGACTGTACAGCCAGCTTCAGACGTCTGCAATGTTTTGCCTGCCTAGCTCAAAGACTGTCCGTCGACTAACTTCGGCTCTTCAGATGGGCATTGGTCTTGACGACGCGACTATGACCTACTTGGGCATGCGTATCGAGGCGCTCGAACCACGAGATCGGCTGGTGAACCTTTCAATGGACGAAGTGTACACAGCTCAATCCGTTGAAATGGCAGGAGGCAGAGTGTACGGAATGGGTGATACGGCTGAAGATGTCACCAAAACACTCTTCTGCACCCACATCAGCTCCGTGGCCGGGAGCTACAAAGACATGATCAGCATGACACCAGTGTCACACGTCTCAAAGAACCAGGTCAAAGACACTTTTGACAAGGTTCTTAAGGGTCTCACGGACGTGGGTTTTAAGGTGGTGTCAGTAACAACCGACAACCATCGAGTGAATCAGGCCTTTCACAAGTCCCTCGGCACAGGTGGCGACCATCCAGAGTTCATCATCAACCCATTCACAGCAACAGAAGAACGCATTTTCACGATGTATGATACCGTGCATCTATTCAAGAACATCTACTACGGACTTATGAAGCAGAGGTCGCTGAGCTGTCCTCCTTTCACCGACTCTAAGGCAAGTTAAACTGCAGCTAGCTGCAAAATTTACCCCAGGTGTAGGTCACGGGAAAGGTCATGTTGCATATAAGCCGATTTGCATGGTTGAGCTGAACACATTTAACCCGCGCCCCGCTGGGGTCCTGGATTTCCACGCCCTGCTGGGGAGGGGGGGGGGGGGGGTTGAACACCTCCCCTCTAACTCATACTCCGAGCCACGTAGCGACACGCGGTAAGGGGTATTCGAAAGAACGTCAAAAACCATGACGAAAATACTTGGTCATTTTTTAGATCAGGTCAAAGGTCAGGTCACTAGAGGTCATCAAATGTCAACTTTTGCTATTTCAACATTTTTCGAAACTGCCAACGGACAACTCGGGAACCAATAGAGCTACAGCGCCGCGGAAAAGCGCGTTCGATAGCTCTTTTACAGTTCTTTCTGAATAATGTTCTCAGATTTGACCTCAGGTCAACGACTTAGCCTCCAGAGGGCAGAAACTCCAAAAATAGCCGCTTTTTAGGAAAACATGTTTTTCTCCAATACCTAATTTTTGACTCAAGAGCCACGATATTACTTTTGCCAGCATCGTGTTTCTCTCGTCGAGACGCGTCGAATGAACTATAATTTGACCTTCAAAGGTCAATTTGAAAATTTGACCTTTGGTCAAGGTCATGACCAAGGACAAGGTGTGACCGAAACGCTCCACTCAACTTTGGGTCAGGTAAATGACCAAAGAGTCTGGGAATCGGGACCTGTTTGTTAGCATTACTCAGGCTGCTCTTGTTTTTTTTTTCTAGACAGCTGGCTGACTATATTTTTTTACTCCTTTGCAGGCACAACATCCACTGGCAGTGGATTTCAATCATCTGGAGCTAGTGTTCAACATGGAGCGCGGAAACCCAGCCAAATTGGCACATAAACTCACCGACAAGGTCCTGCACCCATCGTGCCTTGAAAAGGTGAATGTCAAGCTGGCTGCTGCGGCAACTCACGAGTCGACATCCGCTGCACTCCGCCACTTTGCAGAGCATCAGCCGAATTTCGCAAACTTCAAGGACACCGCCGAGTTCTTGGAGCTCGTGCGTCGATGGTTTAACATCTGTAACGTAAAGTCGCCGCACATGGCAAGCAGGCTGAATGACGACAACCGTGTGCCGTTACGCAAGAACTGCGAGAAGAGCGCAAACTCACTCCAGTTTTTGGTAGACTTCGGTACGTTCATGCGCGACTGGGTGCAAAGTGATTGCCCTGTGACAGCCAAACTGTCGAAGGACACGGGCATGGCAGTGTACTACACCTGCAGAGGTCTGCACGGTCTCGCCAACCATCTCCTGGAGCGCTACCCAGACGTCGTCCAGTACGTGCTCCTCGGCAAAGTCCAGTCGGACGCCATAGAAGGACATTTTGGCCATTTGAGAAAACTGGCTGGGAGCAACTACTGGGCCAGTGTACGTCAGTTCATGGAGGGCGAAACGGTCATCCGCGTCAGCAGTCTTATCTGGTGGTCTGGAGTAAAGGTCTCCGAACTACCGACCAGAATGGCACTTTCGCAGAAGACCAGAGCCCAAGGTGACTCAGCAGCCGTACTCAAGCTGAGAGAAGCTGTCGAAGAATCAGAAGACGCTGAACAAGACCAGCCGTCTGATTCAGAAAAGGCAGCACTGGGGCATATCGCCGGATACCTGGCTCGGTCAGCAACAAAAAACGGACAGTGCAAGGAGTGCTCCGACGTTCTGGTCTCAAGAGAGCATGGCAGCATACCCATTCAAGTGAACAATGAGGACCAGGAGGACAGCATCGTCCAGTCTTTCACGAAGATATTGGATCGAGGGCGACTCATCGTGCCGTCCTCGCTCGCCATAGAAACCACGATGCTTATCCTTAGAATCTGGAAAGAACTCGTGCGAAAAGAGGCCTCAAAAAGACTTCTTTTTGAATGCTTTAGTCCCAGAGAGGCATTTGTCGACGTGGTAAAAGCAGTCACGACACGAAGCTCCATCGTCAGAGATACAAGCTGCCCCAAGGGGCATGGATTCGCCCAAAGCTTGGAACGTATGTCAAGGGCCTTGTTTAACCTGTTTGCAGGCAACATGGTGAGGGACATCAACAGCGCGATCCATGCCAAACGTGGAAACTGTGCAGCGAAGAAAGCAACAGACGATAAGAGGCGTAAGCTATCCGGCATCAAGAAGAGCTAGAGCCTAGAGGTACTAGCACACACACGAAGAGGCGTGTGCGATCTCGCACATGTTGTCGAGAACTCAACTGAACTGTGGTAGTGCTTTCGTGCCTCGCCCTTTACCTATCCGGGCTAACTCTGGAGATAGCCTACGGACTCCCATGGACTGTGGAAACTGTCATACGGCGCCGTCCCAGTCTGGCCGACCGGGCGTACCGTAGTCCCACATGCGTGAGCGTGAGGAGTGTGGTGACCCACAATTGTGTTAAGTGCTCTTATGCCGCTGTTTTTTATACATAGGCTTAGTTTGTACAAGACGCTGGCGAAGAGGTTGGCATCGTGGGACTCTCCTCGGTTGGATGGGCATTCTTACTTTTCCTCGGGTTTGGGGTGGTCATCTAAAAAACTCTTGCCTGTTTTGGTCAAGCAGGCCAAAACGACTTTTATTTATGTGTTGTGCACCGTGCTCATACTGCGATGAAATGTGCTTTTCAAACCATGTATGTGGAAACCAGTTATATTTGGTGATTTTCGAAGAAATATAAATAAGGTGTGCATGTGCGCACGTGCATTACTTTACCTTCGTCGACTGAGAAAAATTCATACACGGTCAGCATCATGGTCACACAACAAAAGCAACAAACAGCCACACACCAAATTTCATTGCAATCGGTCAGTCCGTTCCCGAGATATGACGGAGGGGTGTGCACGTGCGCGCGTGAGCACGCGCAGAGCCACAACTTTCTCGGTGCACGGCACCCTACTAACCGGTCTATAGCGATGTGCCAAATATGAGCGCCATCGGTCCAGCCGTTCTCGAGATCTGGAAGCGGCACCCTGCACGTGCGCACGTGCAATATGGGTCCCAACTGCCTTGTGCACGGCACCCTTCTAACTGGTCCCTAACCGTGTACCAAATTTGAGCGCCATCGGTCCAGCCGTTCTCGAGATCTGGAAGCGGCACCCTGCACGTGCGCACGTGCAATATGGGTCCCAACTGACTTGTGCACGGCACCCTTCTAACTGGTCCCTAACCGTGTACCAAATTTGAGCGCCATCGGTCCAGCCGTTCTCGAGATCTGGAAACGACCCCTGCCCTGCACGTGCGCACGTGCAGCAGCACCCCATCTCTGGCACATGGATATACATTGCCGGTGGGTGCGTATTTGTATGCCAAATTTCAGCGCAATCGGCCGAGTAGTTACCGAGATATTGCAATTGTTACAAAACTGACACTTCTTCGTATTGCACGTGGCACGTGCATAAGGGGTCACCCACATGCATCGGGAACAGCCCAATACTTGGTAAAATGAATGAAGCTACCCTACAAAAATTACCGCATGTACATCGGTCAAGTGGTTGCTGAGATATAAGCCTCGCAAAAGCGCTACTTATGCAAAATACGCTGAACAGTGAACACCCCTGACTTTTCACGTGGCACGTGCTACGGCAGTCACCTAGACGCATCATGAGAAGTCAATTATGGGGCAGAAGGGATGGGGCTACCGAACAAAAAAGACCGCAGTCTAATCGGCCCAGTGGTTGCTGAGATATCAGCCTCTCAAAAGTGTTACAGGCCGTCTTTAAAAATAAGAGGCCAAAGTGGCCTCTTATTTTTGGCGCCAAAAACGAGTGTCCAATCCAGGTAGTTCATGTTATCTATGGGTGTGGTAATAACTGGTGTAAGCAAAGTGACCACGGTCAAAAACGAATTACCAAGTCAACATTTTGGGATGTCCTCGTTCAAAAAACGGCTAAGAGCTTCGGTCTAGACAATTATTTTATCGTTGGCATACAGTAAAATACATACCAAACTCGGCCGGTGATAAATTTTCAAGACCTCAGTCCTTACTGATTTTTGAACTCGGCCTTCGGCCTCGTTCAAAAATTCAGTAAGGACCTCGGTCTTGAAAATTTATTTACACCGGCCTCGTTCAGTATTATATATCACCCACTAGTTACACTGATCAGCAACACACCGACTTCCCTCTAAATCATCCGCTCCTCTATCCACGCTGAGAGACTCGCCGCCCCGCTCCGACTCACCCTCTGCCAGGTCGAGTTTCCTGCCTCGGACGGCCGTTTTGGGCGTGGGCGCCCACCAGTTGTAGAAGGTGCCGACCAGTGGGACGTGCCGCAGCACCCCCTGCTGCCACAGCTGATCCTCCGACTCCTTCTTCAGGTCCTGGCTGGCCTCCTCAATACCTATCCGACAGACAGATTTATGTTATTGTACCGACAAGAAGTGAAAAACAAACGCTTTGCTATATTCAGCCTGCCAGTCATCAGTATCTCAAACAGATAAACACACAATCCAACAATTCTTCAACTGTCAAAACCAGCCCACAATAGTCTGAAGTCTCTCCAAATTATAGGCACCTCTCTCAAAGTATCAAATCAAATTCAAATGACCAGCAAATCACGAAAAAAATCACTTCTCACAAGCTGATCTCCCAAGTGACTACAGCTCCCACAAATCCTTCTTCTTCTTCTACACGTCACGCCGTGGCCGCCGGGGCGGCCACGGCCGTGGCAGCGTCGACCGGGGGGTCGACACGGCCCACCCGCCGCAGGTACTCGAAGATGAGAGTCCCACAAATCCTCCCACTCCTCCTCCACCCTCCCGTCCATCACCCTTACCTTTCATCAGCATCTCGGACATGGTCTCGAGGAATCGCGACGACTCCTCGATCTGCGCGCCGAGGTCCAGCAGCAGACTGCACAGCTCTGACACGTCCGTGTCCATAGTGACCATGCCGAACCGGATACAGACCATGCCGTCTTCGCCGTCACCTGGGGGCACGCAGGGTGAGCGGAGTATACACAGTGGTGTAATTTGGGCGGTCACCGCGAAGCGGGGCTCATTGCAACTCGAAGTTACAGGGTGACACAAAAAAGCGGTCACCACCAAAATTCGAATAACTTCGGAAGTTTTATTCAGATCATCACCAAACTTCGGCCACTTTAGGTCACACCTATGTAGCAGACATCCACCAAGTTTCAAGTCTTCACTACGAATACTTTTACTACAGTGTTTGTTTTACGGACGCTCCACAATGTGCTCCAGGTGAGCGCCCCGGCGCTGCAGGGCGTAGGCACACCTGCATCCGGCGGGCAAAGTTGCCGGTAACCTGATAAGAATAACGTTTCAGGGGTAGCACACCCCCTGAGCACTGTCTCCAGAGGCCATTGCACTCTGTAAAGTGCACAGCCATCGGGTTATCGACAACTTTGCCCGCCGGATGCAAGTGTGCCTACGCCCTGCAGCGCCGTGGCGCTCACCTGTAGCACATTGTGGAGCGTCAGTAAAACACACACTGTACTAAAAGTATTCGTAGTGAAGACTTGAAACTTGGTGGATGTATGCTACATAGGTGTGACCTTAAGTGGCCGAAGTTTGGTGATGATCTGAATAAAACTTCCGAAGTTATTCGAAATTTGGTGATGACCGTTTTTTTTGTGTCACCCTGTATTTATCTGGCGGAAAGATGCCGACCATTAATTTTGGATAATAAGGGAATTATTCGTTCGGGAGTTCGAAAACGCGTGACATTGGATATTCCACTAAAGAAACTTGTCATAAGCAACAAATGAGATTCGTGGTTCGCACACGAGAAAGCGTTAATTTCTTTTTAAGCCGGTTTGATGACCTGTGAAAAGATCTTAAACATCAAGCGTCACAGCAGATTATTGCTCATCCGATCAGATAAGTGACAGCGGTGCATGGCCTGTACTAGCATAAATTATACACGACCACCAAGCAGACCAAATGTTTTAGAATCTAGCCTGACTGAAGACCAAGGCCCATCCTTTCACCTCACTACCCTGACTAGCGCTTACAGAGCCACACTCACCGAGAGAGAAGGCCGAGTCTGTGCTCTTCAGCTTGGCCAGCAGCTCAGTGTTCAGCTTGTTGATGTCCTGCTTCCCTGTGAACGGAATGGAGCCGGATGAGGCCAGCATTTCCGAGTTTCAGCAGTCCGCATGTACGGAACCAATAGTTCACCGTGTACACAGTGAAGGAGCCATCAAAAGGAAAATTGTCTTTAAGTCCAGAATCAGATATCGTCCATGAAATTTAAAATACATTTGTCAGTGAGTCAGAAGTAGATAGCTGTGTAGCTCGTTAAGAAATTACGCCCCAACGCGGGGCTTACAGCCTACAACACCGAGTCATATATTATGACTGAAATATATTAGTAACTAAGTGACTAATACTCACCTCTACAGTCCACCGAGTCGAACCCACCTGATTCGATTGTTCTGCACCTTTGACAATGTCACACCTTTCCGAGCTAGCGACTATGATGACTCAACTCTACAACCGCCCACCAGTTAGCAACTGCCTTCTCAGTCTCATAACTACATCCCCTCCCCATGTGACTCACTACATCGACTCGACTCTCGGCGCCCACCTACCCGAGTCGGTGACTCCGGCCTCCATCAGTGGCTGGAGGTGTGCCGGGATGTACCTCACGGCTCCCAGACCGGCCCAGTTGCCCAGTGGCACGGCCCGCAGCGGACCGGACGCAGTCAGCTCGGCGAATCGAGCTCGGTGGTGCACGGTGGCGTTCAGAATCTCCTGAAAAAGGGGTAAGGGAGGTAAGCCTGGGGACTGGAGGTTGAGGCTGGTAACAGACACAGAGCTACTGGCTTACTAAGAGACAGACAACAACGGGCCAGCTCTAAAACATCATAAGCCAATCGCATTCAGATTTGGAGTTCAAAGAATTTCGGTCAGCATTCGATCCACAGTTCGCTAAACTGACAATTCAGCATGCCCTGGACTCCATACCCAACGCTCAACTCAATGCCAGCCCTCAGCTCGGAGATTAATGCTCAGTCGTCAGTCCTCGTCCTTCGATCGGCCCAGTAACAGTTCCTCGTCCTCAGTTCCAACTCCTCAGTGATACCAATTCCCCGTCACTCACGGTCTGCTGCCCAGACAGTCGGGCCCAGTCGTCACTTTACTCACGGTCTGCTGGGCCAGACAGTCTGCCCAGTCGTCCAGTGCTCAGCCGTCTACTCACAGTCTGTTGCGCCAGGCAGTCGGCCCAGTCCCAGTCCCCAGTCGTCTACTCACGGTCTGCTGGGCCAGGCAGTCGGCCCAGTCGTCCAGCACGTCGTCGTCCAGCGGTCGGCACGGCTCGGCGAGCGGCGAGAAGCGCAGGCAGAAGCCGCGTCCGTCCACCACCGACAGCTGGATGGGCACCTCGGGCAGGTCCCGCTGCAGAATCTGACCCAGCTGCAGGGCGGGGGGTGCGCACGTCAGCGGAGAGGGCGGGCAAACACAGCGAAGGGCACAGGGGGGGGGGGGGGGGGGGTCACAAAACAACACGAGAGGCTGCTACAAATTAGACGCAGACTTCCACATATCCAGGTCTGTCAATGTTAATGGTCAGTGATGCTGCCCGAGGTCTACACAATTCAATAATAATGCAATACATATTATATATTCTGAGTAAAGTGGTCACTACACATAAAAAACGAGGCGTTTGAAATTACCGCACAAACTATCGTACGTGAGTCGACAAAAACGGACACTTGTAAGTATGACAGCCCTCTGCACACTCACTGCGTGGTAGGTATTCTTTTTTCGACAAAACAGATAATTAAACTCAAAGACTATGTTATCAATCGGTCGGAACTCCTTGCATAATGCATATGGATGCGCCATGCTCCACTCCTTCAATTAGGTCTATCACTAAACAAAGTATACGCCTTGTGTGGCAGCAAAATGCAAAAGTTTGCTTTGGGGGCAAATATTATAAGCTTTTGTTTGGAAACTTTTGTGTTTTGCTGCCAAACTGGATGGAAAATGTACACCATGATAAGCCCAATCTAAAGTGCGGAGTCTCGCGCGTCTTGCTGTTACGATTTCCGAGTGACAAAGCATAGTATCCGAGTTATTCTCGGTTTCATCGAAAGAAAGAATACCTACCACGCAGTGTACAGAGGGCTGTACATATAATCTGTAACCAAACAGCCGGGCCTTAGGAGCCCGGGAATGGCACAGTAACCGTCAAGCTCATCTTGACCTCGCGTCTGTTTCTCCCTACCACCGAGTGCCTCTATTCGTCGGGTTTGGTTCGCCCTACCATCGCCCCCTCCCAGCTCTAACGGGGTCTGTTTCGCCCTACAGCTCTCACCCAGGAGTTGAGATTGTCCAGGTAGACATTGTCCTGCACTGCGTCATTGTTGTAGCGGAACACAACTGTGGGAGTCAGGCTCTCCAGCACCATCTGTCGGACAAAAGGGAAAATAAATCACATCGGCCATGACGAGGGGCATGCTCTACGTGTGTTCCTGCTTATTCCATTGCAGAAGCCGTAGCCGAGAATCAATTGTCAAAGTGCTATATTGCACGTGTTACAGGTTAGTGACAGATTAGAAACCCAAACCCTTTCAGCAAACAGCTCAGAAGTCGGAACACAAATACCAAACACAAAAGTAGGCCAGAATCAGCATCCCACTTTACAGGGGTTCCCACACACTCAACACAATGGCATGGGTGTATGCTGTGTCCCTGTTGGGACACCCTACTCTGTCCGAAAATGGCTCCCCCACACGTCTCCCCCCCCCCCCCCCGAGACGTACCGTGAAGTTGAGCGAGGCCTGTGAGAGCAGTTTGTCGATATCAGAGACGGGCGCCACCTCCCGTCCCGGGCGGGAGCTCTGTCGGCAGAGAGAATACCCATCAGCGCCTGACCACACGGTCGCACACGGGCTGAAACAACGGGCATGTATGCTAGACTAATATCTAAATCAATGCCATCATGGAATACCATGGATATATTGTGGAATGCAAATCGTGACAATCAATTATGCTATTACTGGAAAGAGGCTCATCCGGCCACTGTCACCTAAATGTATCACCATCAGGCTACAGTTTGGATCCTCCCCTCGACCACATCTGCAGTCTGGGCCCTCCCCCTCACCAGTATCTGCAGTTTGGGCCCACTATCTCCCACCAGTATCTGCAGTTTGGGCCCACTCCCCTCTCACCAGTATCTGCAGTTTGGGCACGGCCGCCACCCGGCGTTCCACGGCCGCTGCCAGCGCCAGCGCCGCGCGGACCCTGTCCACCAGCCCGCGGCGGCCCAGTCCCATCAGCGCCGCCCACAGGGGTAGCAGCTGCTGGGCGGAGGCGGGCGGCGGGCAGCCCGACTCGGGCACACCGGTCGACGGCGGCCGGTACAGGCAGACCGACGGCAGGCACGGCAGGCCCAGCCACCGGCCCAGGTCTAGATCCAATGAGTCGCCTGTGGAGAGACAGGTCAGGTCAGAGGGCAGGCCCAGCCACCGGCCCAGCTTCAGGTCCAGAGAGTCGCCTGTGGAGTTCATGTCAGGTCAGAGGGCAGGCCCAGCCAGCGGCCCACGTCCAGGTCGACAGAGTCGCCTGTGGAGAGGCCAGGGTCAGGTCAGGTCAGATTAGAGCTGTACTGACCACCGGCTCAGGTCCAGAGACCGGGAGATCTGGAGACCTGCCTGAAGACGTCAGCCGTCAGGTCAGGTCAGCTCACAACGGATCTGAGGGAAGACCTCCCCACCGGCCAGACGCTCCTATCAAGGGCAGGCCAGGAAAGCAAACAGCCACTATCCGGATAAGTACACACTAAGAACTGGTACATGCATAGAGCCCCACATAGAAATATTACACTCAACTCCACAAATACAATGTGATACAGGGCTCAAGCAGATCACGTGACTATTCACCCCACCCTTGCGGTCCATACCTAGTGTGATGTCAGGCTGCTCGGGCGCCGCCAGCACCAGGGTGGCCAGACTGGGGCCGGTCACGTGACACCAGACACCGCGCTCCTGGCAGAGCTCCACCAGCCGGCGCAGGTTGTCCAGGTGGCCCAGCTCCGGAGTTCCTGGGGAAGGGGAAGGGGTGTGTTCATATGGCCAGACTATGTAGGTTACAGAGGGGTTTAATTCAGGGTAGTGCATACTTAAAAGCGCTCTAATAATTTAAGTTCAAACATGGATCCGGATGACATTTATTGGAGACGGGTCTAGGAGATTAGCCTAGGGAACAGGTCAGCAAGTGAATGATAAGCCGAACCCTGGTATCACCTGATATTGTTGGCAGCTATTGGCACCATGAAGCATTCCATGGTATACATGCCATTGTTGAAGAGAGAACAATTTCATCATTTTAGTGAGCTGAAACTGGACTCCGTTAAACCATACCTGATCCATACTGGGGTATGATTTACATTCATATCAGAAAAAAAAAAATCCATCACACCTCATAAAAAATCTTACTGAAAACGCAAATAAAGCAGCAGCTGCTGCAATCTAGGTACCAACCCAGCTATGTCAGCCACTCCCTCCCTCCCTCCTCACCTGCATGTGCCAGCACGAGCAGCGGCACTTTCTGCGCCGCCTCATCCTCGTCCAGCATCCTCTGTAGCTGAGCCACATCCATGGCGTGCGCCGGACCGAAGGATCCACTGAGAGCCACCTGCCGTACGGCTGCACCCGGCAGGCCGACCGAGCGCAGCAGCTCGACTACAGTGGACGGCCGGCAGGCGGCGCTGACATACACGACGGGAGGGCGAGCGTACAGCGCCTCGTAGCCCAGTGCGGCGTACCTGTCGCGGGGGAAGACAGACGAGTTAAGGGGGAGGAGTTGATGAAGATAACGTTTGTGCTACAAGGGCGCCAAAGTACAAAAGTCAAGTCGGGCGTCTTTGGTAAGGGTAGTGAATGGGCCTTGCTTACAAGCCTTTTGCAGCGGGAATGACAAATTACACGTTTAGCCCACCGAAACAAACAAACAAAACAAACATGAAGCTTTGATCCCAAGATCCAACTACATAAATCAACACTGAACTAGAATCAACCCAAAGGCGAGGGCCAGACACTGCACAACATGATGTGTCTACATTATAATATAGGTCGTGAGCAAAATAAAGTGGATAATTATAACACTCAACACACCCACCACTTTAGCCTGTTCACTCATCACCCACCCAACTGGCGCAGTCCTCCACCCGAGTTACTCACGAGTTGTAGCGCGTGTGTAGTCTCATTTTGACCATAGCGCTAAGGCTGTCGCAGCCGGGAGTAGGTAGGTAGAAACTGGCGTCCGGCTGTCTGCAGGGACAAAAACACAGAGGGCGGTGAGGTACGCTGACTCTTGAGAGGGGATATGGAGAGGAAGGAGGGCGGGAACGAGGATGGGGCATAGGAGCCCAGGAGGAAGGGGCTCGACAGGCAGTAATTGAGAGCAGCATAGTCGCACAGCTGGATTACTTTAAGTCGAGTCTTCATTAACCTTAAGTTTCATATATTTCATGTTTATAACGCAAACATCAAAAAGGCAACCACTTCAGTCAGCAAATTCAATACGAAACAGGATCACAAATACACGTGACAGGCACGCACATAACTGGACGTCATTCAAGCAGCAGCAGTACCACGCGTTTGCACCCATTCCGCACCTCTGATCAGCTCACCTAAAGAGCTGCACCAGCCAGGAGGTGAGATCGGCCGTCAGCCTGGCCGTCAGCTGACGCTGCGCGCCGGCGCTCAGCGTGGAGACGTACGCGGCGCAGGTGTGCGCCACTAGCGCCTGGCGCTGAGCGGCCGACAGCCAGCCCTCCTCCTCTTCCTCCTCCTCAGAGTCAGACAGAGTCAGCTCCTGGTGGTAAGACAAGGTGGTAATGAGGTGTAACAAGGACTGGACATCAAAGGTCTAAACAAGGACTGGTAACAAAGGTCTAAACAAGGTGGTAACAATATGTTGATAACAAGGTGCTGGAAAAAATAGTAATGAAGTAATTGAAATGGAGCTATTGGGATGTCATCATGGTGGTAGTAGTAAGATAACAGTGATAAAACTAGCGGTCATTACTCGTTATAGTAGGTGAACCATTGGCGCGATCGCAAAATGCTGGTGAAAATAACCACCCATCACAGTGAGCTAGGCGGTTCAATGACTGCTCATTTCGTTTCCACAGCCCACAACAAACACCGATGGGAGAGACAGGTCAATAAGCAGATTGAACTCCACAAATTAGAGCTCATTTGGACTTCTGAATTCTGATGCATAGAATTCCCACTCGATCGCCGTTCAATCTTAAGTTTGTAAGAAGCACCCAGATTTATCGATAAAAAATGGCTAACTATCCTAATTGACGAATATAGACATGAATCACGTCCCAAAGTTGTAATGCATAGTGCCGTACCGAGAACAGCTGTCCACACCACTGCACTCCCCCCCCCCCCCGCCCCAGGTGCGGGTCACAGCTGGCACACCTCCCCTCCCCCCGCCCCTATCACACCGCTGCCACCCTTTGTGGAGGGGAGCGACAGTCCCCACACACTGCCTAGTCGGTAATTTGTGGTGCAATTGTGGCGACCACAGCTGTAGCGAGGTCTGTAGGAACGAACAGCCACGCATTACCTTCTGGCACACAACCCGTGTCTGACAACATGATTTTCTCACTCCGACATCACATACGGGCCGGCATCTCACGGCATCTGGTTTGTATGTGATGTGATGCTTACTCCGGCATCACATACAAACCAAATATTCATCGAACGATACAAGCGGTAGTACTAATTCCCAGGTTGGTTCGTAGCTCAGTTGGTAGAACATCGGACTCCCGGTGCTGAGATTCCGAGTTCGAGACGCTCCGGTGTTCGATCTAAGCATATTCTAATATGGGCAATTGGCATGGTCGGATCGACGCTTGAATTTGGGAGTCGCAACTGCAGTCGTTGTAGGTCAAAAATGACTCGGAATGAAAACAACATAGCGTGCCCCCTACATCCAGTAAATATTTGAGTTTCGGTGTCCTAAACATTAGTAGCAGCTCTTGTTTAGTGTCCCGTCGCCGATATACAAATCTTAGCAGTTAGCACGCCATAAATAAAAGGAAAAATAATCAAAACAGGATGTCAAACAAATGAAGCATAGTTGCAACGATCTCTCCAAATCCATGCTACGAAAACCTCAAGTCGTGCCCGTTCCGGTGCGTCCATGTCGAATCTCTTCCATCAGTGGCTCTATGTGCAGGCCAAGGCACCCGTGTCGACACGGGTACACGGGCTGATAAAGCGCGACCGGCAAACACCGGAGCAAGCCGCCAAGGACAGAAAGTCGGACCGATGACAGAACGGAACTAACACAGAGGAGAATGAAACAACACAAATGGGTATGGCACGGAACGGTACGATACTGTATCAAATGGTTAATAGCCTGCATCACAAAACACGACATGGAATGGACGATACAAAAGCCGATTATATCAGATACCAGCCAGCCCAGTCTGACATGAGAATTTGTTTAGGATGCACATTGCACACCTGCAGGACACACAAAGTTTCTGAGCCAGTAAGACGAAGGTGCAAAAAAAGGCTCATTTCACCCTACTCTTGCCATCCCTAACAACTGTCCCATCCTGGACACCAGCCTCCATTCCCTGCTTCATGATTACAAAAGTTGTTGAAAAACTTCAAAACCTCCTTAATATCACCCTATGCTAGGAAAAATATCAAAAACAAATATAACTAAATAAGGAAATAAAAGCATCATCATCATGAACCTGAGCTAACCTCTCCTTTCCTGCTCTCTCATCCTAACATCTTGACAGCTTGTCCCTATCCTTTCCTGCTACATCATCCTTAAATATTGACAACTCAACTTGTCACTTTCGTTAACTTCATCCCTGAGTTGGATCCCTCCCTGCCAACAGCGCTGCCACAGCAGCATGCCCCAGTCCTTCCTTACCCTGAGGGCCGCCCAGAGGGATGGTCCTGTCACTCCATCCTCCGGCAGGCCGGCAGGCAGCTGCTCCAGCAGCTCCTCAGCATGGAGCTCCCCGTTGGCAGCCGTCATCGACTCCAGGGCTGACGTGCCGTCTGATAGCAGACCGGCCATGACGGGCAGGCTCTCCTTGGAAGGGTGCTGTGGAAAGAAGGAAGCAGTTAATAAGGATATGATGTCTGAATTGTGTGATGAAAGGCTTTCTAGGCACTGTTCTATTCAGTGTGCAAGGTCTGAATGAAAAATTGTAAGTCAAGTACAGACTGGAAAGATTGGCCAGCGTGCTGACTAAATGTAGTGACATTTTTCGGCAAAAACTTCTGCAGTCACCTTGAGGCTTGAGCCGAAAAAATTCCGCCGCCACCATGCGTTGAATTTGATGCAAGCAAAGTTATGCCGGACATGCACTAAAATTTCTGGTGCAATCCGACCACTACGCCAGACATATTTGGCTTAACATGTATTTTTTCCAGTCTGGCACTTGTAGGTAGCTACATCCTCAGACCAAGACAGCGGACTTATTCCATTAAAAGCCCTCCCTTACTTTCCAAAAATTCTCACCTGGTCCCCCTCAGTCAGGTTGCCTGCAGACTCTGACATAATATCCTTCAAAATTGATGTTGGCAGTCGTAAAGAATTGGAATGTTTCTTGATTGAAGGATTGGGATGATTGTCGATTTGGAGACTACCCAGGTTTCTTCGCACTCTGATAAGAGCACACCAAAAACCAAAACCATTAATTCTTCTTTACTTAGGGTTTTCAAATTTACTTAAATGGTGCAGATATATCGATTTTTATTCAAAGCCAGGAGGAACTGCACCATTTCTCATATCAAAAGTCTACTAAGGTATGTCTACTGCGTCATAATAGCCAGAATAGCCGCAGCTGTCGTGGCTGTAAACAAAAATATCAGGATTTATTTAAAAAACTTTTTCTTTAAAATAAAATTGCTTTATGAGACTAAACAATACAATTGTTCCAATAACAGCTTAGTTGCATGATCTAAAAAATAAGAAAAAGCTTTTGAAACAATGGTGTTATATTCTATCTTGAAAAGAAATAAAACCACAACCAATCGTGGCGCAGTAAATACAAACAGAGAAATTCCAGTTTGTAAACATTCGAGCGTGTAAATGTTGTCTGCTGGATGTTTTGGTGCGATAAGTGTTAGCTGTCAGTGTGATAAATGCACAATTGATTTGAACGGAATCGACATTCATGTATTCAGGTCATGGATCCTGCCGAACGGCAATAGAGCTACGTTCTACGTAGACGAGTTCGGACTTCGGTGAGTACCTATTGGCTGATTGTGTCATGACGTGATTGTGCCGGCGGATGCTCTGTTGTCATACTTCCATGGGTGTGGAGGATTTGTAGGATCTGTATACCTTTGGATGCTCGAATGAGCACCCTAATAGTTTTCTGGGCACCCTCTCCTAATCCCCTAATGATTTATTTTCACAGGAACTCTGTTTTAGGAGAATATTTATCTCCACGGTCTTCAACTAAAGTAAATGAAACATAGCGCAATTAACAATGCATATGAAGTAAATATTTAAAGAAAATAACAGTAAGTTTTAAGAACAATGGCAAAAAAGACGTTGTTGCAGTGACACCGGTGTGGGGCCGCGTTGTAGACGGGTGTGTGCCGTCAGTCCAGAGTCGTGGTACGGTAGTCGTGGTAGTTGGTACGGTACCCTTAGGCCCTGGCGCGTAGGTACGCTTTACGAGCCGGCAGGGGGCTTTCAGCAGGGCCCTTTCAGAGACTGGCAACGGGCACTCAGAGACCGGTGCAAGTTGGTACCTTCAGAAGCCCTGTGGGGTCGTTAGAGACCGGCACGGTACTCCCAGACGCCGATAGGGGCCTCAGAGACTTCAGAGTCGCCGGTGGGCGGTGTGTGGCCCCTAAAAGTCACCGGGACCGGTGCAGTGGTGGGTGGGTGGCCGTGATATGCGCACGTGTGAGGCCCTCAGAACCGTCAGTGCTGGGCTATCAGACTTCAGAGCGGCGCCGGTATAGGGCCTTAAGAGGTAGGGCCTTCAGGGGTACCGGTGTGGGGCGTGGGGCCCCTCAGATATGGCAATGTGGGGCCATCGGAGGCGCCGGTGTAGGGGCTTCACAGTCGCCGGTGAGGGTCCTCACAGGCGCCGTTGTGAAGGCCCTCAGAGACACTGGCTTAGGACCATCACAGGCGCGCGTGGGGCCCTTGGAACTGCTGGTACGGAGCGGACCCTTCATAGGCCGACAAGGGGATCTCAGAGGTCGCCGGTGCCTTCAGGAGCCCTGTGGGGTTCTCATGTAGAGACCGGCACGGCTCTCAGACGCTGCTGACATCGTCAGAGTCATCTGTGTAGGGCAGTAGCGGCGGAACACCTTCAATTAAAGGGGGGCACTGCCGACTTTTGGTCCCATTCTTTCCATGCAACGCCCATAGGGCTAACGTTAAAATGCCAAAATCAAAGGGGGGCACGTGCCCCGGTGCCCTCCCCGTTCCGCCGCCTATGGTGTAGGGCCGTCATAGTCGCTGGTGTGGTGCCCTCAGAATTGCCGGTGTAGGGCCTTAAGAGGCACTGGTGTAGGGCCTCAGAGTTGGGGCCGTGGGCCGTGGGGCCTTCAGAGACGCCGGCGTGGGCCCTCACAGTCGCCATTATGGGGCCCTCAGAGAAATGGGTGTGGGCCATTACAAGTGGTTGGGGGGGAGGGCTCCTAGAGCTGGCCCCTGATAGGCCAGTTAGTGCTCCCAGAGGCCGCTAAGGGGCCATCAGAGACCGGCAAGGGCCCTCAGCTGGCTTGGGGCTCTTTGTGAGGTGCTTGTACGAGCCCTGTGGAGCCCTTTTGAGTCCAAGTCTAAATAAGGCCAGCGTGGACCCTCAGCGGCCCATTGACGCCGCAGGGCCCTCGGGCCCGAAGAGCCCGAGGGTTCCCTTAACCTAATGGGGGGGGGGGCACGTACCCCACGGGCCCACTTGGGACCTGGCTACGCCGCTGAGGTTAACCGTAAACCATTAAACATTGAAATACGATTACGTGGCATTTTTCAGCGATTATTGTGATCGTCTGATTACCGCTAGAGCCCTGTAGCTTCCGTTGCCTTTGCTCGATGTCCGCCCCTGCGGCACCGCCGCCAATCGCCGTCGTCGGTTTCTGTCACCTTATCCCAGAGGTGCCGGGACGCGTATTCCCCAAGTGTATTATACACTAGTATCCCAACCAATAGCGCGGCCTCTGGGGTGACGTTATAGCAGGGGCGGATCCAGGGCAGGGACTTCGGAGGTTTCAAAGCCCCTAGCCGAAAAAAAAGAAGCCCAACCTAGGACACCATTGTGACGTCACCCGAGAGATGGCGTGTTGATCGGGATTAGAGATGTCAATCGGATACCGACTTTTTCGTATACCGATACCAAACCGATACCAACTTGGTATTTGATAATTCAAACCTCTTCTATGTTTTTGGTATTTTGTTGGTATTATGAATCCTCACTTATGTATAAGAAGCTGTGAAGTTCGTAAAAAGTTGGTGTTTTCCTGGCATTCCCAAGTTGGTTTGGTTTCGGTATTTTCCCATGGTTTTGGTTGGTAATTTGTTTGGTATCGGTATCCGGATTTTTTGTACCTAATTGACATCACTAATCGGGATACTCGTATAAATTGTAGCATACTTCAGAAATACGCTGCCGGGGCTGCTGCACAGCTGCCGGAGAATGTACGACTTTTTCGGAAAGATGTTTCTGTAATGAGGTAGCCAAGTAACTATTCGGACGAGCAGCATGGCGCTCAAGAAGAAACGCTTACCGAAATGTATTCATTTAATTAGGCTAAGTTGAGATTTTCAAGAAAGTGAATAGGTATATTTATAATGTAATAGAGTGTAATACAATTAACAATAAACGATATGTGGATAATTAATGTCTTGTGCCAAGGCACAACTTTTGCGCTTTCGGGTCTTCATGTCTACCTATCGTTTGCACTTGAAGCGTGAACACTTCAATTGCTCCTGCAAAAAGTCGCCATTCTACCCTTGGGAAATATTAGTGGAAATCCCGGGATTGTCAGTACCTAACAATGGGATAACCAACGCTGCCTTGTACAGTATGTCTAAAAAGTATGTCCCCTGGTTTGGCTCTCCCACAGGAGGCGAATCGGTAACTTGGCTGAATCCCAGTTGCGGCACCCGGCCGCCAGGGTCGCTGCCGCGCGAGCGGCCTTGACCGCTCGCATGTCATTGGCAGTTCGGTCCCTCCCCATCTATACAGAGGTGGGGAGGGGAGAAGAGGGGAAGAGAGGGGAGGGAGCGGCATCCGCTCGGCACTGGGCGATACCTGGCTGACCCCGCGCTCCCTCGCTGACCTCCGTCCTGCCCTCAGGCGAAGACCGACTTCCTCGGCCCGTAGCGGCCGAGCGGAAAACCGAGCTCGCAGGGCGCGACTCCATTGGCCCAATCTTATAAATGGAGTGCTGTCGTATTCACGGCATTAGATAATATGAATAGTGATACCAGCAGTGGATGTCGTAAAATACAGTCTAAAACAAACGAAAGCACACGATTGACGCATAATGCGCCCTCCCATTCAAATAAGCCCGCCCACTTCAATAGATGGTGTAGTTTCTTAGGGCGTAAAAGAAGCAAAACACTACCAAACTTTTTTTAGCTCGGCCACTGGGACCGTCAATATACAATTGACTGAAATGCATGAAAACCATTTTGCATTTAATAGCCGTTTCCTGCACCCAAACTTAGCCAGTGACGTCCTGTCCATTCTAAAGCGTTTATAAGATTGGTCCCAGCACCCGATTTTATATGAGGAAGTCGTTTAAAAAGCATCTTATCTCTAACTAATTTATTTATTATGGCCACTTTTACAGGACGTCTACAGAGCTTTGACTTTTACATTTCTTCCTCGTTCAGGAGTAACGTTTTAACCCTCACCGGACCTTCAGGTTTTCTGAATACCGAGGGGGCGTTGGGGGGTTAGAAGTGAGGAAACAACCCCCTTTGCCGATTCGCCCCTTAATGAGCTAGAGCCTCACGAAAGAAACGATCGTGCGCGTCGTTACGAAATGCAGCGATTGGTCTCCGATTTAAGGACTAGGATCAGCCGATGACTTCTGAGGTTAGGTCAAGTGGCCCAAGGCACAGGTTCGGTTTTTGGTATATAACTTCGCTAAACATGATCGCAGATCCGCGATTTTAGCAGCATCGTGTTTGTCTAGCTCAGGCGTGTCGAATGGTATACTTTTTCTTCGGGTGAGATCAAGTTAAGGTGTTAACCTCGGGTCAAGGTCAGGTCACAGCCCGTCAGGTCACGAAGCTGGTCAAAGCATAGAGATCTTATACACAATTTAATTTAGGATAGTTTAAACTTTAAAGGACCCTCCCACCTTCAAAAAAGTTAATGAATTGGCATGAAAGTGATGTCGCTCGGTTCAGAAAGAGCAAAAATGAATATCTACCAAATTTCATCGAAAAATATTCACCGGTTTTCAAGATATTAGACTTTTACTTTTGTTTACTTTTTGGGATCTCCGCTGTTCCTAGCGACTTTATTTGAAAGTGCGGCATTTGTTGCGCGCAAAGCAGTATATACCACCGCGTGCTGCCAAACGTTTTAGTAAAAGATTTAAAAATCGTTAGATCTCCGCTGACGTCACAAATTCTAAGGGGGCATACCAATGCATTAGCCCCTTAGAATCCGAAAACTGCAAGTTTGAAATTCCATATCTCCGAATTAAAGCATTTTTCGATGTTGTGAATGCCCAAACCGGTATTTTCAGGCCATGGCCACCAATTTGGCTATCTCAACTCAAAACTAATGTTAAGGTGGGAGGGTCCCTTTAATTCAAGTCGGTATGAATCCGACTTGACAATTTACTTGGTGGGTTTTGCAGCGCTATTACTTCGGCATGTAATTATAAATCATTGCTAATTTCGATCCGGATGTCGTTATTCAATGCTGGCCTTTGCGCCCTCAGAAAAGTTTATAGTCATGAAGGCTTGCATTGACCCATACTTTCCATTTTTCAGCACCATTATTCGCCGTAGTTGACCAGAGGCCAGTTTCACCAACAAAAAATAGACGGCTGCGATTATTTTTTGACAAAACGATAGTCTCAAAATGTCATTTACTGCTGAAAATACTAATCGCTGACTTGACACTTGTAACAACTTAGCTTTCAAGTGTTATATTATTTGGTCAGCAATTATTTTTTCACCTGTTAATAGGATTTAAAGACTATCATTTTGTCAAAAAATAATCGCAACCATCTATTTTCTGTTGGTGAAACTGGCT